GGGCATAGGCAATATACATAACCTTAACATTTGTACCCCTATAATATGCTGAAATAAAAAATAAAATAATTAACGGTGGCATAAAAGCCATGTTGTCCAAATATAGCTGAACTAATTTTTCCCCAAATAGCAACAATTGATTAGCACAAAGTTAAAATATCTGTTCTTTATCATCCCATCAGACTTTTTTTTGACCTGATGCTGGATCATTACAGCTCAGCAGAAAGAGTATGTATTAATGAACTCTCAACCCATTGCCTAGCAGTGCTTTGGTTCACATGATAGTAAATTATAAGAAAAAAATACCAACTAGGCTTGGCTAAGATAGATGCAGATAAGCTCATGTTGTTGTAGGTAGGGAACATCATACTTTTTATTCTTTAAAAAAAGTGTTTTAATTAGCTGTATTTTATGGGGAAGTCCATGATAGAATGGCTCTGGCATTTTCGCAGTTACAATGCAAGAGTATGGGAAAATCTCTCTGTATGAATTAGTTTTTCCTTTAAAAAAACAAGAAAAAAATACATTATGTGTGTATGTTTGGGCTGTCTTACAAAGATTGTATGATAATTATACACAAATAAGAATAGATGATAGGTGAATACTTACTTATGAAATGAAGACTTACTATAAATCATATCGTTCTGTTCCTCTGTTCCTTTTTTATTTTCCCATTAGTTGGCAATATTTATGTGCCCACTCTACTATGAACTTGAAATTATTTTTTCCATCTTCATTTTCACAACTGTTAATTTCAGGTTCTTATGATCAAAATCATAACTGCTAAATGTTGACAACCTCGTAGCTGATATTCCTGACTTATCTTTATCCTGGTTAAAAGCATCATATATATTGCCCTCATACATTCGTTGCTTTCTCCTACCTACATATTCAGTTTAAACTTTTTCTTTAGTTCAAGAGCTTCCATAAGGTGACCTTGGCCTACAAAACCAGGGCTGTTTTCCTCTACCAAGGCTATACACTGCAATTAGGTCACTGTCCTTAAACACTGTGCTTTTTCAAGGGACTTATACACATTATATGATTTATGTCTCACAGCACCCTTATAAAGTTTTATTTATCCCTGAGTTTACAGATTAAGTAATTGTGCCTCACAGAAGTTGTCCTAGGCCACATAGTTTGGAGCTGGAATTAGAACTCGGTTCTGCCTGTATCCAGAGCACTGACTTTTTACCTGTTCCACTAGAAGTAGAAACTGTGGTCCTTGGAGGAGTTTAAAATGTTGAAGAGACCAAAATGTAGGTTATGGAGCAATTTGAGACAAAAATGAGAGTTGCTTGTGCGTGTGTGCATTTGTGTTCACATACTTGTGAACACTGAGTACCAGGAAGACACTTAGTAATCAAGAATAGATTCTAACCTAATCTTATATGATTGTTTTCTTAAAAAAAAAAAAATCTTGTCTAGAGGAGAAACAGAGATAGATGAAGTGAAAGGGTATAAGAATCAGTATTTTAAGTAACATAAATACTAGAAAACCTTGTGGCATTTTAGAGATCACAAGTCCCTAACACATTAGTTGCATGTTAAGAGTCAAGTTATTCTGCAAGGCTAACCTGCTGTGAGTCTGGCTAAACTAAAGAAGTGAGCACGCTCTTTCAGCTTCAGCCTTTTATGTTTAGTGTCTCTCAGTTTGTTTCTGGTGTACAGAATAACTTCACTGTTTTTCGCAAAAGTACATTTATCATAATACACCTTTGAGTTTTAACTGCTATCCTTTAAAGAAAGATGTTAACCAGATTTTTGTTTTAAAATATATTTAAAACGTAAATGGGTTATATAGTTCACCAAGTGCTTGTTACTTCAGATGTCCTTCCAATATTCACTGGGTTTCACACCCCTTCCCCCTCAACAAGGTCAGCCAATGGTTCTGTGACTGCAGACCTCACTCAGTGCAGGCACCTGTTATTATTCTTGATTTTGCTTCAGGAGCATGTGATAAATGAAAGAAACTATTAATCATTTCTTGACTCCTTTGTTTTAAAATCAGTCAGTACACGCATTTTAATGGATAGAAAAAAATGAGCCTAATTTTTTGAGAGGTTGAATTAAATGAAGTCACAGCAGCTTTTTTTTTTTTTTTTTGTAAGTTGTCCACTCTTACATATATAGCCCAGTGGAACAATTATTGTCAATTCTTTTAAGACTACTGAAATTTCCTATTAATTTTTCAATGGCCAAATTAGGATCCAGCAGCATCAAAAATGCCTGGTTTGATCTTATCTGTACAGACCCAAAGTATGTTAGATTCTCTAGGACTTGAGGCCCTTTTTTTTGCTTCTGGAATGGAATGGAATGTAAATTTTAGGAAAACATATATTTGAAAGAAATCAAAATGTGTTGGAAGTAGGTATTTCCTGGTCCTACTTCCATATCTTGGCAAATCAAGAAAATCTGATACACTTGGAGAATGCAATGATCTGGGAATAGTGGAGAATTAATCACAGTTGGGGAAGAGTGACACAAAAATGTGTCCCCTCGCGCAGAAGCCAAATATGAGGAAGAAGATAATGGAAGATTGGGGAGAAAGAACAGCTCCCTCCCTACTGTTAGCCTAGTAGGCTTATGAAATGGTCATCATAAATTACTTCACATCTCTGTATTCTGTGGAAATACTATCAAGGCAGATGATGTTATACTCAAAGAAATATTAGTATGTTTAAATGAGTCTTTCTCTTTTACAAACTTCCATTTCAACTCAAAAGCATTTATTGGGCAATTTAGCCCAGATACACCTTACTTTCATATTTAAAGGACAAAAATAATGCATTTATTTGAATGAGAGAAGAATGTATATGACTTTTTTTATTCCAAGTATATATCATCTCCCACCTTTAAATTCAATAAAATGTTTTAGAGTTTTTATACTTGTATTTTTAACAGTAGTGCTTATACTTCTCTGGAAGTTGTGAGTCTGTGTATAGTGACTAATATTTAAACATTGAATAGCCTGTAATGAATAATTGGTTAAAATATATAATTATCTAAATAACACATATAACCCATAATTTTTAAAATATTATGAAACAATTCTTTAAGAATCAAAATTAAAATTTTAATTTTCTTTGCATTGTTTTACCTACAAATGTTTAATGTCCCATGTCATCTTTAGTAATTATGAAACAATCTCATTTTTAGTATATGCTGAACCAATAATAGAAATTGTTATCCTATAGTAATAATATCCAGCACAACCATTTTGAAAGACAAAGACACAGTATATAATACAATGTGAAATTCATAAAATAGTTATTTAGCTAGTTTGTGAAAATACATATATGTTGAAAATTCAGTGTTAGCAAATGTATTCTACTGGGAAAATTTTTAATTTGCAAAGTGATGTCCTAGGAATTGCTTATTTTCTCAAAGAATTTATAAACAGTTCAGTATGATGACAGAAAAAAGACTGCTTTTCTAATTGCAGATATAATGCATAGATTTTTAACATAGGTGTGAAAAATGGATCAATTCTGACAGTTTTTTTAAAAGTACACTTCCAAGCCTTCATATTTGAAGTGAATTATTCTTTTACTCTCTATGTAATCTAAGACAGAAATTAATTCTTATCCTTCTTATTGACTACAATAAGAAAAAATATAATTATTCCAATACAAAAAAACCCTTATGGGGACAATCATTGATAATACAAATATCCGTCTCTGATTTTTTGATCTTTCTCTGGAATGTACCTTACATTACTTTGCATAAAAAGAAGTTGTAATTTTTATCAATAATTTTAATCTCTTATTTTCGTTTAGGTCATAGTATCTGGAAACTGTGAGCATGCATATGTATTTTCATTTAAATATGTGCTGACTTCAATTTTCCTTACATCATTTATAGCGAGACCCCACTTGCCAGGATCTTTGGCTTATCCTGAGCAATTTTATCTTTCAAAATTTCTCTTTCAGAAAAACATCAATATAATCCAGATAACTATTTCACAGTACTTCTCCTTGGGAGCTTTTTTTCTTAGCATCAGTTTGCTTCATTATAAAATTTGTAGCTTGCCTAATGGTAACTACATGTGGAATCTCAAGACAAATGTGAAATAGGAAATTGTTTGTTGGAGGCAGGTGTTTATTTAATAATTGCTTCCTCATACACATATACAAAGGGCTAAATGGAGATGGAAGGAGTATTCATCTAAATATTTGCTGTCATGATTTGAGTCTAAAGCAACCTTGTTTTAGGATACTATATCATATAGCTATCATAATCAAAGTAAAATTTTTCTTTTAATTTATTAATAACTTAGAGAATTGTATTGGTTATTCAGTAAGAATTATAAAGTGATGGCTTAGTGGAAGAGTGTGTGTTTTACACGGTATTGCTTTAAACCCTAATGCTCCAGATAATTTGAGATTCGTCTGTGTTTATATGTCATGAAGTAAAGTGAACTTCTGGCAAGCATCCAGTTAGTTCTTATCAGTGTAGGTAGACTGACCAGATAATCTTCTTCAAATACCTTCCTTCCATTCCCTATCAGTGCCTTTTTCTGTATTTCCACACAAGTGATACTCAGAAAAATTGTCATAGGTGCCCATTTCAACAAGTCAAAGAGAAAAAGGTAGACAAGACTTGAACCAGTATGTGTAGTCAGAAAATTACTATGTATATGAAGCTGTACTTTGTGTAACACACTGTGTAAATTTAAAGTAGAGCAAAAAGGGCTCTTGACCAAATATAATATAATTACCCTCTGTAGACATTGGAAAAGATAAATATGGATGACTGTTATTTGCTTTGAGTCCCAGGACGTACTAAAGCTGAGACCCTTTATAGGCGGTTTCTGTCATTTGTCCTGCGAGAAGGAAGTCGAGAAAGTTGAGGTGGCAGCTTCTTCCTTTAAATATTCCAGGGCACTAAACAAAAGCACCCATAGGACAAATACCGTCTCTGAATATCGATACTTTCTGAAAAGTGTGTTTATTTTATTATTCATAGTATTTCTCTCTCTCTCTCTTTTTCTTCTGTAGCAGTTATATGCTGCCCAGCTAGCTGCAATGCAGGTATCTCCAGGAGGGAAGCTCCCAGGCATACCCCAAGGCAACCTTGGTGCTGCTGTATCTCCTACCAGCATTCATACAGACAAGAGCACAAACAGCCCACCACCCAAAAGCAAGGTACTCTTTTGAAGTAGCTACCTGTCCTGCCACTTAGATTTTTATTTTTCATTCAGTGGTATTTATTGAATGCCCATTATATGCCAGCAACCAGCCTAATCTCTGGGTATACAAGAAGGTAGGAGTCTATAAAGGGCAAATAGGTATGAATGTAAATTTACCAGCATACCTTTAGTCATTCATTTATTCATTTATTTAATAAATATGTATTGATAGCTATAGTAGGAAATGTGAGTGATAAAAATATTTATCAGATAGGAATACTGTACCCAAGGAGCTTACAGTCTTATAAAGTAGTATTTATAAAAATAGCCAATTAGCCATATCCCATGGGACAAAATAATAAATTTTATAAAGAGTTACAGATAAAGTACATCAGGGGTTATATTAAGAGGAAGAGATCCAGGCAAGGGTTTGCCAAAGAAGGGACAACTGAAATAAACTTTAAAATATGAGTAGGATTAGGACATATATAAAGTGTTTTTTAAAATTTTAATAACTGTTATAATATGACACAGTATAGATATAAATTTAGATATATCACCAACCCAATGAAATTATCATGTAAAAAACTGAGGATAATGGTATTACAAGTAAGACTATTTAGAAAGAGTTTTGTTTTTGGAGCTAAAGAAACATTTCCTGAGAACACAGGGAAAAGGATCAGGGGAGATTAAAATAATGTATGTTTCTTGACCTAAAAGGAGAGAATCAGGAAAAATGATCTAAGGTATTTTTGTATTTGTTAAGATCTTAGTTAGATGATATTGTATAAATACAGTAAGTTTTCTATGAAAGAAATAAAAAGAGTTACCATAAAGTGGTATTCCCTGAGGTTAATCAGGGAAATAACCACAAATATTTTAAGTGTATTAGAAAATTTTGAGTAGAAAACTAACACAGTTAATTTAGTCCCAAAATAACTTTCATTTTTTTGCTGATTTACCTAGAAAATTGGTTCCATTCTCCATCTAATTAATGTTATGTTGAAGCAGGCTAACAGGTTAAGAGTATGATTCACAATAATTAAATAAATACACAGAGAAAAGGATTAGGAAGTATTGAAAGAGAAAATTCTAGAATTTTAAAAAATCCTTCTCTAGTACCCTGATGTCTCTACCAGGAAGTCTTTCACTGTTGCTATATTACTCCAAAGAGTGAATCAGGAAGAAGACTTCAATCAGTCAGCTGGGAGAGAGCACTTCAGCCTCCTTTGTTCTAGAACGTACTAGTCCTTTTCCATATTATTAAAGAGAGAAATAACTTTGGGAATGTAATTTAACCTGGACAAGGACCTTGGATCATGATTCACCAGCATATGTGCAAATATATATGGAAAAATACTGTGCACACTACAGTGGCATTAGGGAGTATACATAGGCCACTTTTAAGATCTATTTCAGCTGTTTAATGGACCTTGCATGTTCTGTGCTTAATGTATGTCTAATGCCTAGTCTGCTTTTCTTTATAATCACAGCAGCATGTAAGTTTTTAAAACTTGGTTATAATAACATTTGTTAAATAAAATTTAATTTTAAAGCAGTGATATTTTGGCTCCTCTGTGGACCAGCACTCTTAATGTATTACATGCACAGGCTAACTCTGAGTAAGATAAATAGCTGTAGCCATATAGTGATTGTCACACACAGCTACTTTGGTGAGTTATTATTCTCTGTTTTTTTTTCCTTGATTTATTGATGTGATTTCACATGCTGTTTCATAATGATGCTTTACATTAGGATATTTCATTTATGATTTTAGGTTATGTAGTTCACTTTTAAAAGACATATAGATTTTTTTCTTACCCCTGAAATAACTTTTTATCATTAATATCTTCTCACCAAATCACTTACATGAATACAAGTAATCATGAAGCTTTTGATGTCAATCAGCCTCATCCATTTATGTCTATTAGTTTGTCCACTCATTCATTTGTTCGTTTAAATATTTATTCAGAAGTTGCTACAGTGATACTTTCTTAGGTAACCATGGCAAATGCCAAAGTGACTGAAAGTTTGCTTTCCCAAGATTAGGAAACTACTTTAAGAGCCATATGTTTCTGGTATGTTTCTGATAATATATTATATATATAAGCTATATATTCTGATAATGCAGAAGAGACTGATTATTTCAGTAAAGTTGGAATTCTCCTACATCCCATGGCTTTGTATATCTTTGTTTATTTAAGAGTAAGTGAAAAAGTAGGTTGCATTTCTGTAGACATTATTATACATAATTTAAAATATATTTCAAAGTTCGTCTTTGAAGTTCAATTACTTTTTGAAAAATAGCCTTCATTTTCTATCATATAAAAATTTTCTAAAAGGTAGATGTTGTATTTCTTTACATGTGCAATTATTGTAAAATACATAAAAAGTTTAACCAAGAATAAAGTGCCTCTTTTTAAGTACCAACAACAATTTAATAAAAATATTTCCTTTCTTTGCTCAGTGTCCTCTAGCATATTGTCTATAACCTCTTTTATTGTCAGAAAAGGTTTCTTAAATGTGCTTGTATTTTACCTCAACAGTAAAATGTGTGGGTTAAAAATAGCCACACCAATAAGTATTACTGTTGTCATTTTAACGAAGAACAGGGCCAAAAAAAAAAAAAAAATACAACCAATAGTAAATAAAGAGGACCCATTACAATACATGAATTTACTTTCTCATAGCCTGGAATTGACATTTATACATTGTATAATAAACACTTTGATTTCACCAGGCTGTTTTATTCATGTGTAATAGCTATCATTTATTATCATATTTATGTTTTTAAGCAATCAATTATTAGTGTCTTGGGGGGTATTTTCTGTGTGCTTTATTGGCAAATTTTCATGTCTGTCTTACTATAAAATAGAATTATTTTATTAAAGGGCTTTGTTGTATTATCTACATATCTACCTAGCATAAAACAAATTGATGGCTTAAGTTAAAAGTGTGTGTTTGCTGTTTGGAACAATTGAATCATAAGTCACATGCAGGTGATGATGTAAATATGATCTTATTGACAACCATCAAAAGCCAACCATGTTCTGAATTTTATTGCCTGCCCTTCTTCCTGGGTGTGCCTTTGCTTTTGACTCACAACTCTAGAGAAGGACACAAACAAAACTTATTTGTAATTTGCAAAAAAATGGAAGGGGGGAATCAAAGGGAGGGGGCTCCAAAAGACTGTAAAATTGTACAGCATGAGTCCTCTGATGCATGCTGTTTTCAATCTGCTGTGTGCCAGTTGGAGGCTTGGGGAGTGTGTGCGCGCGAGAGAAAGGATAATGCTGAGAAATGATAGAGTGGCTGTGACCTCCAAGCTCAGCCTGGAAATCCAAGACATTGATTTCACTTAGCATTCCTGCTGAGAAATCTGGCGGAGTTCAGTTGTAATAAAAGAACAAGATTCTGTTCTAATGGTAATGGCGTATGACAGACATATCACTTTGTCTGTCCTCAGCACCAGAGAGAGGAGAATTGGAGAAAGGTCACCTGACCTGCCTGGGGTGTTGTACGAGTGCTGTACTGAGCTTTGAACTACTGCCTAGGAACATAATTATTTATAATATTAAACGATAAAGAAACCTTTAGAGGACTCACAGTGAACCTCTAAAAACTGCAAGCAGGAATTGTATTCTGTAAATGTGAAAACACGAAATCTTGTCTATTCAAAATCTGCATTCAAGATCATGGATAGTGTTTCTTATTGAGTTATAGGTCCTTGAACTCACTGTTTGTGGACTGTTTGCATTAATGCCTGACTTACTGTCATTGGTTAATTTTTCTTTTTTTTTTTTAAATCCCTTCGTTTTATTAGTCACAAACCAAATATGAATATAAATGTATAAATGTGTGTGTGGGAGGAGGAGTGTGTGTATATGCGTATTTCCCTTGCCCCTGTGGTCTATTTTGCCAAAGACTAGATGATAGAGAATTAAGACCATCAGTAGGTTTTTAAATTTTTCTCAGCCGTTACAATAAAATGTTTCTAAATACATGTACATTTGTCTCTTTAGCAATTATTTTATTTTTCGCCCTCTGGATCCTACTCCAGAAATATTTTTTTCATTGACCAACAAAGACAAATATATTTAGCTCCTCAGAAAATATTCTCATAGCTTATGTATGTCCTCACAGCTGAATTTATGAGTAAATGCTGGTAAATAACTCTGAGTAAAAGTATGAAATCTTGAACCTTTGTGCACAAGAGAGCCCATTTAATGGAAATTTTAAAAATAATTCTACCTTCTCAAATTATTTAATTAAGGTATTATCAAGCAATATCGGTGTTTGAATCTCATATACAATATTACTTTGAATCTGCTTATATGCCTTAACAAATGTCTTAATTTATTTGTTTATACTTTAGCCTTCTGCCACAGGATGAACTAAATACAGTGTATTCAGTGGCTTTCATTTTTGCACCCATATTGCTTTCTTTAAATGATATTCTGCATTTAAAGAATATCATTAAGAACCTAGATAGCCTTTGCTTTGCGTCAGTAATTGGTCTTTTGATACACTTGTGTTCTAAAATACATTATTTCTTTAAAGTATAGTAGAATCAATGTCAAGCTTAAAACAATTACCTTGAGAGAAAGAGTATTTGGATTCAGTTTCACACACAACTCACACAATTGCTATTTATAAATAGGTTTACAATTCCATGTTATCAAGAAGTCTTCATATGTCGTAGGTGTGCTAAACATCTGAACTTCCCATTTTAAGTATTCTGCTGTTGCAAAAGTAGCCGCCTCTTGGGAAAATTCCAAGGGCAACTTGTAAATGTCTCTTGGTGTTTGACGGAGACTTATATATTGCTTGTAGTAACCAAGAATAGTTAGTTTGAAAAGCTGATGACAAGAGAAAATTCCTGGTTGCTTTTCTTTTAACCTTGCTACGACCCTAGTCATACCCCTAGTCACAGTTGTGTCTGTATCAATGGCAAGAGCACACAGATTGTCCGAATTAATTTTTTGTTCTTTTCGAATACTTCTGGCAGTGATGTTC